AGTCATCGTTGGGTCTCGATTCTGAGGATGAATAGTGGAACATGTGTCGTTGGGGAAACGAATAATAAACTCATCCCACCTCTCCTGGTTTCTCCTTTCTATTGCGACCATTTGGGCTTCAAATTGGGCTTCCATCTCGACTTCCAATTCACTCCGGATTTCACTGCGAAGAGTCTGCACCCTATGTTCCATCTGATCCTGCATTTGAGAAACAACGAAAGGCGTGTACTGCTATGAATACCTGGAAACTCGACCCATCCGGTTGCCACTAGTACAGCTCTGCACTTTGGCCAAGTCCCTTCACATGACCCTTATTGTTGCGACCACCCACCGTCTCCCAATACAACTCATTCAGACTATTCTGAATCCCTTGAGTGTTTGCTGCTTCAACCTTCTTCTGGTAGGCCTCCTACAAGATATACATATGAAAAGGAGCAACTTACTAAGTTTAAGGAAGCATTTTCAACAAAATAGAACCAAGTAAGGCCTAAATGACTTCTACTTTGCCCATTTTCTTCATTTCTTATCAAATGGACTCTTGCTTTCTCATAAAAAGTCAATATAAGATAGTTTTAGGTGTCTATGACTTGAAATTACAAAAAATGACCACTTACCTAAGTTTTATGAACCATTTTCATCCAAATATGGCCTAAATGACTTCTACTTTGTCCATTTTCTTCATTTCTTATCAAATGAAATCTTTCTTTCTCATAATATGTCAATAATAGGTAGTTTTAGGTGTCTATGACTTGAAATCACACAAAACAAGAAAAAAAAATTAACTAAGTTCTAGGAATCATTTTCATCCCAATTCATCCAAATATGCCCTAAATGACTTCTTCTTTGCCCATTTTCTTTATTTCTTATCAAATGAACTCATTCTTCCTTGTAACATGTCAATATTAGGTAATTTTAGGTGTCTATGACTTGAAATCACAAAGAAGATCAACTATCTAAGTTTTAGGAACCATTTTCATCCAACATGATCCAAATATAGCCTAAATGACTTCTACTTTGCCCATTTTCTTCATTTCTTATCAAATGGACTCTTTCTTTCTCATAACACATCAACATTAGGTAGTTTTAGGTTTCTATGACTTGAAATCACAAAAAATGACCATTTACCTAAGTTTTATGAACAATTTTCATCCAAATAAGGCCCAAATGACTTCTGTTTTGCCCATTTTCTTTATTTCTTATCAAATGAACTCATTCTTCCTTCTAACATGCCAATATTAGGTAATTTTAGGTGTCTATGACTTGAAATCACAAAAAAGACCAACTATCAATATAGGACCAAATACGTTTATAATGATTTCTACTTTGCCAAATTTTCATGAAATCAATCAAATAAGTTTAGATTCTAAGTTATATTGAAGTTGTTACCGCAATTTGCTTCGCTTTGGTGTTAGCTGGCACTGTGTCTTTCCCAGGCACATCCGTGAAGTGCGTCTTCAGAAAAAGCTCAAGAGTTGTTGGTAACTGGCCTTGATTCTTCGCTACTTTTGATTGTACAAGCAGAAAATCATCGTTAACATGTCACACCACCATTACATAGTAATACACAAACGTCTTCTATTTTAATTGCTTATTAAACAAACTTACTATCCTTTTTGCATGTTGTATAGATGACATAGAACCCTGATAGTGGGTTCGTTCAACCACATTTTTCCATGGAACCGCCCCTTCTGTTCTCCTTGTTTTAGGCAGACAGTTTCTTATACGTCGGATCTGTGGCAACAATATCCATCATCTTCTTGTGGACTTCCTCATTGAGACAGCTTGTCTTGGCACCATTCATCTTGTGTGTGACTGTGTAGAACATGTCACGTAGGCGAGTTGCAAACTTGCTTTCGAATCGCTTCACATGCTCGTTCAACTAAGGTACCCATGTGAATTGTTTCCACGAATGACAAACTTTAAAAGTTGTAAACTCAACTCCATCAATACACTTAATAAAACATGTATTAACTAAGTTAAAAATAGCATACGCTGAACAAGATCCACTAGTGTTCTTTCGTTCCTTCATCAACCTCTCCATAATTCCTCCAAGGGTCTCGATAGTATCCAGTTAGCGTACCGGAGAACACACTTCTCACCTTGTTATCATCAAACCTACATTAAATGAGAAACAACCATGTTAGATGATCATCAACAAAAAGTAATATAGAACTTGTTAGAAGTAATAAGTAGGTTAATTTTACAAAAATAAGAATATAAGTCCAATTCATTAAATATACGTACATACCATAGCGTAGTAGGGTCTAATACCGGCAACTCAGAAGACTGCGAACCCATTTGCCCCCTAAAGCTGTTGCCCAAGCTGCTGTGTCTGATTTTCTGCTTGGGTGAAGGCGGGCTCTTGAGTGGCACCCAAATCATGCGCCTCCGCTTCCTCTGTGAGCTTTCCCCTTCCCCTTTGTTTTCTTCTACGATTCTCCATTTTTACCCCTCGTCATACCACCTGAAATAGTTGTTAGTAACATGACATGATATTATAAATTACAAGTATAGTGCAATTTAACAAAATTTTATACAAAAAGTAATGATTCATTATACAACCAAGTCATATTTTGATTTTACAACAACAAGCAAATTTTAAAGGCGTTTAACATATTCTCCTATTCATTAATCTCATCACTATTATCACTACTTTAATCATCACTACTATCATCTAATAATACATCGATGTCATCAATCTTTTCACTATCACTAAAGTCGATGGCAAAGCATTGTATGTACTTGTGGGGATGGTGCCTGCAAAAACTCTAAGTCCACTGGAGCATCAACCACTGACCTTGCTTGTGTTTTAAACACAGCCCACCATTGAACTCGATCCCGTTTCAAGCTATGGTATGATGCGTAATACACTTGAGTCGCTTGGAAAGATGATACAAAGGGATCACACTTGTGGTATTTCTTAGTATGATTTACTTCGACAAGCTTGTATTGTTCATGTATGTTCATTCCCTACCACAATCCATCCAACTACACTTAAACAAAATAGTCTTGTACTCTTTTTCGGGGACCAGTGTAAACAAGTTCAATTATGTCATCTAAAATGTCGAAGTACTCTCCACCATCCTCACTTGATACACACACACCATAATTCATTGTAGATTTGTGTTTGTCATGGGAATGTGTATGAAAATTAAATCCACCGACAAAAATCTGCCTCCAAGTTCGAACACGCTTGAAAGGACGTACACACAACGCTCGTAGGACATCCGAATTTGGTTTCTCTTCAACCACCTATTAACGTTTGAAACGTCACAATTCATGAATTGAATAAATTGAAGTGCAAGATGTAAAATTCATAATTATGTCACGGTTAGAACGTTTATATCACCTTGTGATGAAACCAATCAGAGAATTCAGCTTTGCATTTCTCCATGACTTCTTCTCTACGCAGATAAGGTCGAGTACAAAGAATGTAGTCCTCAAACTTCCTAGGAGGTCAATGACACGAGGTAAATCAACATTGCAATCATTTTAATTGTTCATAACTTTGAATACAATTCATTCGGAAACATATATACCTTTCGTATTCAACAAGAATGTCGTTGTTTTGTAACACAAACAAATAAGCACACTCGAGTTCCTTTTCATCTAAAAACCGAGTTTTACCCTCATTTGACACACGACCGCTATCCACCATGAACAACTCTTGTATTTCTGCGTTGTCCACTGTGGAATCCACGTAGGCATTCATATTTCGACCGAGATCTCGTGTTTTTGTGTCAACTGACGCCTGAAAGTGATTATAGCAGAAGTTTTTTATCTCTTACATGCTTGTTATCTCTTGTCAAGGCTTAGAGAAAAGTTTTGTGTGAGAGGTTAAACAGCTGTGGTTTCCTGATGGTTACGCCTCCAATTTGAGCAGATGCGTAGATTTGCAAGCATGTAAGCTACACGGAATGAAAAGCCATGACTGTCACGCCTGAAAGTAAAAATTGGCAACAACCTCTCCATGAACACGTGACAGTCATGGCTTTTCATTCCGTGTATCTTACACGCTTGCAAATCTACGCATCTACTCAAATTGGAGGCGTAACTATCAGGAAACCACAGCTGTTTAACCACTCACACAAAACTTTTCTCTAAGCTTTGACAAGAGCAAATGGAGCCTTTGGCATTAACTCTTTTCCTCTATCATCCTCCTAAAGACGAAGTTGCAGCCGTGTACAATATTTGGCAATGTCATTTCGAGCTGATGGTGTGTCACATGTATGCCTTTTCACATTCATTATAGTGTGAATTAACTGATTAAAGAAGTTCTTTTCAATGTGCATGACATCTAAGTTGTGACGAATGAGCAGATGCTTCCAATATGGAAGCTCCTATAGTGCGCTTTGCTTGAACCACCCGTTTTTGGCTTTTTTGAGGCGTTTAAGTGCCTCAGGCCTATATGTTACCTTCGGAAGGTCTTTCACACATTCTCACAATTCCTCTCCTAACATGATGTGTGGAGGTGCATCTTTTTCCACTACTAGAAAAACGATTTTGGGCAACAAAGAAATTCGTCGCCCAAGCCTCTTTTTTGTCGCCCAAACACTTGTGCAACGACCTTCAAGTCATCGTGAGCTCGTCGCACAAGGGTCGACGCCCATGCACGTTTGGGCGACGACTTGGTCTTTTGTTGCACAAAACCTATAGGCAACGAGTTAGATTGTCGCCCTTCTTACACTTTTGGGCTACAAAAGAGTATTGCATTGCCTATGTTAATGATCTTTAGGCAACAACTTTTATTTTTCATTTCCTAAAGGTGATTTCACAACAGCACACATAATGGTAAGGGCAACAATAATGTCGTCGCCCAAAACCATTTTGGGCAATGTTATGTTATTTTTAGTACCATATGTTACAATGCAGCACCAATTTTACAATACAATATGTAGCTCATTTTGTTGCCCAAAACTATATTTAGCATACAAGCAACAAGTTTTTTTGGTTGTTACCAGTTTCTCACCTTTCTCAAACTTATTTTACTTTCTTAGACATTTACATTTTATAATTGAGATATGAGATAACATATAATAACAATCATTTTAAATATTACATACTTTTCCAAGTTCAATCCAAAAAAATCAAAATTACATCTATATTTATATTGTTCTACTAGGAGAACTATATATACAAAGTTAAATTTAATGATCACTAGAATATACCCACTTATTATTATAATAAAGACCACAAATATATCCAATGTGTACTTCAGGTTCCTCGGTTGTTTCTGAAAGGCAATAAACCAACATTAGATACACACGATTGCAAAATAAAATGTTGTAAAAAAAAAAAATAAGAAAAATTTACATGAATAATTCCAACTAGTATAAATTCTAGCAGCAAAATGAAAGGTTTACTTCCGTAAAAAATAAATAAATAAAAATAAAATTTGAAAGGTTTACTTCTCATAAAAATAGCAGTCATATACAAACGTTAATATACACATCATGAACTATCGTATTTCATCCATGTTTCATATTGGTCTCTTTAAGCATTCGATCAGCAAGAAACAACTCATGCTCATAAGGTCAAAACAAAATTTATATAATTTCATCAAAGTGTTAAAGAATAGCATGATAGTTTAGTTTCTCTTTTGTTTATAATAATGCCATGGACAATGAACAAACTCTAATCTCTATCATATTTTAACTAGTTATCACTACCAAAGCCCAATTAAAATAAAGAAAAAAACATCAAACCCCATTTGATTAATTTGTGCAGGAAGATCAAGTTTTAGTGGGGGTGATCACAACTTTAGATTATGAAATTGTTACAATATCCCACTAATTAAAGATGATTAGACATGTCTGCCCATTGGTGATGGCTGCTTTACAGAAGAAGGAAGTAAAAGTACTGAGTTTAGAAGACTGAATTGAAAAGGAAAACAAAAAATTAACACATACATACAGATCAATATTATTGCTTGTACTGAAAAGAAATCTGAAATTGATCGCAAGGGCATAACTTTGCTAGATAGCTATATACTAGTATGATATATCAAGCTTGAACAGGAAAAATAATCATTTCGGTTTTCATCTTAGTAGCATTTCAACGACAATTTTTCATGACACTTAAATCAATTTATATTGTTCGTCTTAGGCTCTTCCATACCCAAAACCTTGCCATATAGTCATATACCAGACCCAGCCAAATCTCAAGGGGTCATTTTAGTTCATCTAGAATCTTTTTAGAAAAATCTAGTTACCTACTCAATTAGCTTTATAGCTATTTCATTAGCTATAGTAAGGACTGAGGTACACTGCATTTGATAATCATACTATGACACAGGTTAGATAAAGCCTATTTACAAAATTAAACAAGAATCATATCCAAAATAGCATACTATAATAGTATAATTGCAAATAATCTGAATAAGAGGAAGTAATATTAAGAGAAAGAACATAAACTTACTTTATGGTCTTCTCATATAATCTTGTATAGTTAGAATCTCGCTGCGCTTCAGCGTGTTCAGATGACCTTTCATTAAAAAAATAAGACAACAATAATTTATACTCCAAGCACCTAAATTCCAGTAACAAAATAAAGATAAACAACAAGAATTTTAGGGGTAAATACAAGTTAATCTCTGAGATTCACAAAATTTGTTTATCACATGGCAATTTTGTAAATAGATCAACAACTTTTTCCATAAAAGTGGGTCCTACATTAATAATGACTAGATAAAGTTGTTCATTTATTTACCAAAATGCCATGTGATAAACAAATTCCAATAACAAAATAAAGATAAACAACAAGAATTTTAGTCATCTTCGTGATTATAAAAATATAAAATGAAGTGTATTAGTGTCCAAGAATACAACTATGATAGGATATATCTTTGTATTGTCAAATACTCAGAATAGTTTTCAGCAAATTTTAGTATTTGCATGGCATAAACGTAAAGAAATTAATTTTATCTCAAAAAGAGCTCAACCTAGATAAATCAAAACAAAACCCATCATATTTCCCATATATACCATCAAAAATAACCACAAAATCAATAAATTTACAAAATCAAAACGACAATAATTCCAAAAATTTGACCAAACTATAACTCAAATCACATCCTAGCTAAAATACAATTAAAACAACCAGAATTGAGGGTGAAAACGAAATTTAAGCAACAATCGCTTGTTACATCTGATAATTATACAAAACATCAGTAACTACAACCATTAGTTCAATAATTCACATCAGAATAACCCCAACTAAGTAAAATGACAAAAAGGTTAATAAATTGAAACAAAACCCTAGATTGCGAATCTGATGTACGATGATAAAAAATATAAAGAAAAGAAAATCATACCATGGAAGCTTTTACAGTGGACGAGAGAGAGCTCCATAGCCGTTTCAATGGATCGAAGAAGAGAAATTGAGATGAAGATGATGAAATAGAGGATTCTAGAGGGAAAAAGAGATGTAGGGTGTTTGGGACTTCAGTAAAAAAACTTGTTAAGTTTTTTTTTTTTTTTTCTTACAGCTGACGGAAAAAACTTGTTAAGTATTAGAAAGGTTATTTGAAATTAGAATTTTTGAGGTGAAATTTTAGCAGCGGGAAAAAATATCCCGCCTTCTTTTTTAGAGTTTTGGGCAACGAATTCAGTTATTTGCAGTCCTTTGTCTCTACTAGGGCAACGAACCATGAATCGATGTCGCACAATATAACTTTTTGGACAACAAAATATAGCTTTGTTGCCTATTATTGCCTTTGGGCAACAAACCCAATAGCTCGTCGCCCCATATGCTAAAATGGGCAACAAATTCTATTTCTCATCACCCATTTGTTGTAATGGACAACGGTTCTATATTCGTTGCCCAAATTATGAGATAAGGGCGACAAAATTTATTTCCGTTGCACATGCAAACCTTTGTCGTTGCCCAAAATCAATTTTCTTGTATTGTAATTCGACTTTGTTTTAACAAAATGCAGTTCTACTATTTCGAACAAGGTGATCTGTCGAAAGGAATTGGCGGTGGCAATCAAACCAAGAAACGTTACCACCATGTTCAAGCCAAAATGCTTTGCTTTTCTCTATGCAATATGGACAGGCCTTCCTACCAGCTGTGGTCCAACCAGACAACATACTATAAACCGGGAAGTCATTAATAGTCCATAAGATGGCTGCTCGAAGATTGAAATTCTATTTCCTCGAAATATCGTAAGTATTTGCACCAACTTCCCATAATTGTTTCAATTCTTCTATCAACGGTTGCATGTACACATCCAAGTTGCCCTTAGGGTCTTTAGGACTAGGAACGAGCAACGAAAGGAACATGAATTGTCTTTTCATACACATTGAGAGAGGCAAGTTATAAGAGGTCAAAATGACAAGCCGACAAGAATATTGTCCCACAAACTTACCATGAGGAGCAAAACCATCTGTACACAAGCCAAGTCGAACATTACGAGGCTCGGAGGCAAACTCTGGAAAGCAACTATCGAGGTGTTTCCAAGCTTCACTATCACTAGGATGTGCCATTGTGCCTTGAACTCGCGCGAGGATTTTTCAAATGCCATGTCATTTCCTCTGAAATGTTCTTGGTTGCAAAGAGCCTTTACAAGCTGGATGTGATCGGGAAATAAAATAAAGCATTCCAAGGCACTAAGCTACCTTTAGAAGTCTTCTTGTATCGGTCGCTGCCACACACCCTACATGTAGATAGCTGAGCATCATCCTTCCAGAACAATATACATCCTTCCGGGCATGCATGAATCTTTTCATGAGGAAACTCCAACCCCTTCATAATCTTCTTGACCTCATAGAATGTGTCGGTCATATGGTTGTTGTTAGGAATCGCTTCATTGACCAAAGAAGCAAACCCATCAACACATCTGTGGGGCAAATTATACTTGCACTTTAGACTAAAAATTCTAGCAGCCATCTTTAACACAGACAATGAACTCCCTTCATATAATGGTTGTTCAGAAACCTTCAATAAATATAGAAAATGCTTAGCTTGTGCATTAGGCCCCTCCTCTAATGAAACACTAGCCTGTTTGGAATGCACTTGATCTTGAGTATGACTAAAAGCATCGAAAACCATTTCACGATATTCATCGGACCGCCATTCAGGAACTCCTGAAAACCTTTCCCTATGACACATCCACTCATAGTAATTAGGTACAAAACCCTTGCGATACAAATGAATTTTAACCGTTTTCACATCCCAAAGCCGTTTGTTCTTACATTTAAAACATGGACACCTAACTTCATTCAGGTTACTACTCTTGGGATGATCTTTCACATACTGAATGAATTCATCAACCCCTATAACGAACTTTGGATTAATAGAATGCCCAACCTTCTCTTGAGACATCCAAATACGTTCTGTTCGTTTCATGATTACAACTTCTACACAACTCACGCATATGTATAATCACATTAGTCACAAAACGTATTTAATATTCATCATCCATCAAAGTGTTATGGAAATGAAAATGAGATTTGAAATGATGTCTAAGGGTCCTTATCACTCCAACCTAACCCATCCTTAGACGTTTAATCCCACTAGTGAATGTAAGCCAGGTTTTCAATTATATGGAAAATCCGGCAGCATTTCCCTACAGTTCTCCAAGTACACGATGTAGGCAATTAGATACACCTACATGTGTACCCAGAGAACATTGTAGAGAAATGATAGGCCAGAATATTCCCTAGAATCAATAACAAGGAATACATTCACCACCTAAGTGAGAATAAACGTACAAGGACAGTCCCAACCGGGAACTATTTAAGACATACTCCTAATGCGTATGCCTTGAACGGGTATCTAGGCATATGATTATGTAAATGATTCATTTACAAAATATATAAAGTAAAGGACACATGCATTATATTAAACAAATATATCATAATTAAACTAAACTAAACAATAATTAAACATTATATTAAACATTATATAAAACAAATATATTAAACTAAATAAACTAACATACATTATATTAAACTAAACTAAACTAACATACATTATTATATTATACTAAACCAAACTAAACTAACATATCATAATACAACACATTCATCGTTGAGTTTCGTAGTGTCCAACACTAAGCGGAAGAGAAACCCGCCCAAGACCCGCCCACTAATTAAAGCAACTAAGCATGCAATCACATAATTAAACAACAAAAAAAAGAGAAAAGGAAATGACATTCTTACCCTCGACGCATGCTTCGCTCCTATAGAGCTCGGATTTCAAAGCCTTAGCTCCGCAAGCGCGAGAGCCTCTGACGGAGTCCATCCTCGAGACCTGACCCGAACGACCTTTACCCCGAAGGTTAGTCGGGGCTAGACCAAGAAAAGACTAGAGTATTACGAACTTAAATGTTTTCTCACCTATGGGGAGATGCCTTATTGAGTTCAACTCAAGTGATTTTTCCCAAACCCAAAACTTGGGTATTTATAGGGATAGGTGCCTTGATCTTGCATTTTTCAACCAATTTATTTTAATCCAAAACAAATTAAAATGCAAAGCAACAAGCTCCAAGTGGCACATGGAGAGCAAGAGTAGGTGAGGACCATTTGAGGGGGGACCAAACCCCTTGCTCACCAAGCAACCCCTTAATTTCGGTCCCCACACAAAACCGGCTCTCACCACGCCACATGGCTGGCTGGCAGCTTGCCTTGGCTGCCAAGGCTGCTAGCTGGCGCCTAGCACCAAGACTGGGCATCCCAGCCAGCCAACACTCAGCCAACCAGCACACAGCCAGCCAGCACACACATGCGTTGTTGTTGCTGCTGCTTGGTGCGTGCTGCTGTGCGAGTGGCGTGGTGCTTGGAGCTGCTCGCTAGCAAGCACGCACAACTACAGATACGCACACACAGTACGTTGCTGCGATACGTGTGCTGTGAGAGTGCGCTGCTTGGTACGAGGTTGCGAAGAGTTAGGCGCTAGGCCCTACCATGCTACCAACCACGCATAACATGCATATGCAAAGCACCATGCTTGCGATGCTTGCATGCTAAGCACAGCATAGCTGCAGCTATGCGTGTGGATGGGTGCGATGCCCACCTCGCTAGCATGCATGCAGTTGGTGCCCTCGCCTAGCCTAGTACTCGCATGGCTAGGCCAATGCGAGGCTATGGCTTGGCTCGTACTTGTCACTTGCTTGATTCCACGTCTCGTTGAATTCCGAATTCGACTCGACTTATGACGCTCGATTTCGACGCTCTAAGCTCGACATCCGACGTCTTTATTCGTAATACTCTAATGACTCATCTAATCCTTTGGATTGATTCGTCGACTCAGATCGGTTACTCGATTGGGATGTGACCCGACGGGTTCAATCAAGATTAAGCTGTAATATTAATTATACATTAATATTACTGATCAGAAGCGGCCTCCACCTAGGCATTCCAATCACTTAACTATACTGAAGAATTAGCTTTCTAATAATTCTGAACCCTCTATCGGAATAATACATTTGTTGGAAGGACACCGTTCCTTTCATTCATTTCAAATATTTCAACATATTTATACATAAAATACAACAAACATGTATACACTACACTAAAAACAATGATAAACTAATGTATATCTGTATACAATTAGTCACTAACATGCCATGTATAAACTAAAATAAGAATTTTAGGGTTTATAATGTCACTAACCTCTAGATCTACACTTTTTATTGACAATCAAACCAAGTAAATCTACAAATCCTACAAATAATTAAAATTAAAAACTTAATTAGGATTACGGAGGAGGGGCGTTAGTTTTAATTAATTAAAAATAAAAGGGCAAGTCTTGCCGACTGCAAAACGGCGGGAGGATGGAGGTGGTGGTGGTTCTGGTCGCAGCGACGAAGGAGGAGGTTGGATACTATAGAAATGGTGATGGGTGGTTAGGGTTTACCGAAAAAAAAACAAATAAAACACTTAGCAAGCGGCGGCCCAGGAGTCACAAGGGGGCGGCGGTGAAAGGTCGGTGGTTGCGATGAAACGCAGTGGATGCTCTAGAAATGGTGTTGATGGTTAGGGTTTACCGGAAAAAAAATGCATTACACTTACCGACCGGCGGCCAAGGAGTCACAAGGGGGCGGCGGTCACAGGCGGTGGTCGCAACTTCTTTCTCTTTCTCCGTCGTTCTCTCTCTTCCCTTTTTTCTCTTTCTCGCAAAAACTGGATCTACTTTCCTTGTTTTTGAATGAAATACTTTCCGACGGAATATTCCGTCGGAAGTACCAATTTCGACAGAAAAAAATTCCGTCGAAAAGTACTTTTTCCGTCGTAATTTTCCTACGGATTAAATTTCATCGGAAATTTCAAATTTTCCGACGAAATGTTAGGTCCTTCGGAACGATTCCGTCGGAAAATAGCCTATTTTTAGTAGTACATATAATAGTTAGCTATTTATGGTGGGACAAAATTAAAGAATTAGGAGGAAGAAACTTGACTAGAGGGAAATAGGGAATTGATGACAAAGAAGAAATCTTTATCTTCAAGATATTTCTATAAAAGGGTAAATCAATTAAAGAAGCTTAATTAAATCATATTATTGTACATAAAGCTATAACCTCTAATCCACTGTGCTTTAATTGTTCATTATCCATACATGCCTCTAAAGATCAAATTCTTGGTGTTTGGTTTTTTAAAAATCAATCTATATAGTTGAAAGTCAGATTAGATAGCATAATTCATTCTATCTTAACTTTTTTCATATTGGCTTAAAATCTAATAAAAAATTAAAATTAACCATAACCAAACCAAATCCCAATACCTAA